GGCCCCGTAAGATTCTTATTCCGGCATGAGATTCCCTCATAAAATTCTACTTTCTTTTTTATTTTTGTATTCCTGTGTCTATTCCATCTCTAAAATAATCGCAGAGGCCATCATTGATATGAAGTTTATTGTCATGAGATAGACCTCAGAAGATTCTAATTGTAGAATCAATTCTAATTCAAATTCTAGAGCCAACTGTAGTACTCAACCTCCTTATATTACATTTATATCCCCAAGCCAAGCAAGCAAGCCACAGATTCAGGTTTAATGCTAGTATCGAGGATACATAATACCTGACGCACAACCGTAAATACTTTCTGATCTTTCTGATTTCTCGAGAGGGAAAGCGGGGGGATGATTCTGGTGGAGTGGTGGAATTTAGCGAAAGGGAATGATTCGGGGTGAAAATTTTGGAATTTAGCGAGAGGGTAAGAGAGGAAAAAAGATTCTCTTTGAGTGGAAGAATTTACCCAACCCCCACGTTCCTCCTGCAGGTGTGGAAACTTCGATCCTCGAGGACTCTGACTCTGCAGGGGCGTCCCTCGAGCTATCCCCCGACGACCTCAGCGTCCCGAGCATCAGCACAGCCACTCCTTCGCCGCAGCCGCAACCGACGCCGTCTCCGCAGCCTCCGTCCACACAGCACCATCAGCAGTCGGGTAAGATACAAGGGCGTCGGGGATTCCACAGGATGAGACGAAGGCTTGTGCTCCGTGCACAGATTTCACTTCGGTATTAAATGGGAACGTAAATGAGGGACGTCGTAAATGAGGGACTCTAAAGGCTTGAATTGTTCTTATTATTTAGATAATGCTGATCATTTTTTATGTATCCGATCCGGGTTTTAAAAGGTTAAGACTTACAACATTTAATCAAAGTAAAATACAAAGACATAACTGCGTCACAAACTTATCATCACATTTTAATTAATTATATCACGAACCAACTCCTTACATTATATTTATTTCACCCCCCCCCCCATCCGACCCTCCAGGCGTCCAGCGCAACCTAGCCGACCTTCAGAAGAGCCTCAGCGGGGAATTCAACCGGCGTCTGCAGGAGTGGGAGAGGCTGAAGAGCGGAGGACCCGGGCAAGGTCTTCACCACCCAGGTCTCGCAGGCGCCCCGTCCTCGCCGTCGGGATCGGGGGCGTCTGGATCGCACCCCGAGGACAACCTTCCTTACGAATTCCGGAAGAAGCTGCACGAGTGGGAGAAGATGAAGGAGAGAGAGAAGGAGAAGGTGTGCGCTGAGAGAGAATATTTTGAAAGAATCTGTCTGTTCATCTCTGTTCATTTATCTATTCATTTGCCTGTTTATCTGTCTATATGTCCATCGGTTTATCAGTTTTGTGTGCATTTGTATTTATATGAAAAAAAAAATCACTGGCTGAAGGTACAACGACACAGAAATGCCGTGTTAGTACTAGGTCAGGGGGGGGGGGGGAATAATGCAGAGAGCACGACAAGCAATAGCATACACAAGGAACCTGACGATACCAGTTGATACGGGCATTCTAACCGCCCCTTTTGCCACACAGGGAAAGATCGACGTTCCACGAGGCCAGGAGGACGTCAAGACCAAGAAGCACGGCGAGGACGACCTCCCAGCCGACTTCAAGAAGAAGCTCACGGAATGGGAGATCCGCAAGGCCTTGGTGGGCAAGAGCCAGCAGAACGTCGAGGAACTGCAGAAGAACCTCGGAGAAGAGTTCAACCGCAAGATGGCGGAGTGGGAGAGGATCAAAGCCTCCGCCAGTCAGCAGGGCCACGTGAAGCCAGGTCACCCTCAAGTCAAGACCTCGGCCTCCGCGGGTAACCTAGGCGGCAAGGGGTCAGCCTCTGCGGGTCAGATGCACGTGAAACCGTCGCCGTCCGCGTCGCAGGTGGCCAAGGCGCCTCTGATTCCGGGTCAAGGGCCCGCGAGCCCGAGACTAGACAGGAAGGGATCAGGACACAAAATCAAGAAGAGCAAGGCGGCCAAGACAGACAAAGTGCCCGTGGTAAGTTATCTTAGTTCGCCCCTGTAAGTCAATAGATAGCATTCCTCCGTCAACGAGCATGGTAAATCAGTAAGAGAGAGAGCTTACAAACTAATACTGAAAACAAACCAATCTCCTCCCACCAGAGCAAAGCGGAGAGCAGCCACAAGGCGAGAGACAAAGAGCTGCAGTGGCTGGAAAAAGAGCTGCACAAAGTCGAACGCGAAACCCAGAGGCTGGAGAGAGAGAAAGAAAAGTTCCTGGAGAGAGCAGCCAGGTAGAGGTCACATTTCGTTTTATACCTTGAAAATCAATTATATATATTTTCAGACATATTTAAATTGGCTATATCACTCATAAGGTTTTACTTCCTTTTGATCTTAGAAAGGATGATAACATATTTTTGGTTCCAACTTGGAGAGAATATTGATAGAATAATAAAACCTAAAACCTCGACTCCTCCAAAAAACACAGAAAACAGCAAGAGAATAAAAAATAAAAATAAAAAACACATTACCTCTCCCCTCCTTCCCATAGGCTAGAGAGGATGCGCCAAGCCATGGGACGCGGTCCGATGGAGAAGAAGGAGATATACATCAAGACGTCGACGGGCGAGTTCCGCTTCGAGGGCATCAGCCAGACGTTCACCAAGAAGCTGTACGAGTGGGAGGAACGGCGGGGTATCAGGCCTGAGTCCTCCACCATCGCCCTCCTCGACCCCAACTACGTGGTGCCCGAGAAGAAGGCCCCAGAGAAGCCCAAAAGCCCGGAAGTTGGCCGACTCGTGAGGTACAGCTTCGATCAAGGGGGGAGGAGGGGGGGAGGGGGGAGAACGTGACCGGGCGAGTGTAATCCCAAATTTGATTATTTATCTGCCTTCCCCCGACATTTTTTATGTGATTTTGTTGTTCATTTCGCCATTTCAGTAATATTTAATGGTGATGATAATGATAAAGATAAAAAAGAATAGTAATGATGAAAGCAATGATAATAATAATAATAGTAATGATAGTGATAATTATAATGATAATATTGATAATACTAACGATGATGATGATAGTCTTAACAATAATAATAATTATAATGATAATAACAATAATAACAATGATATTGGTAATAACAATAATATTAATGACAATGATAGCAATAATAATAATAATGATAATCATAATTATAATGAAAACAGTAGAAATAATAATAGCAATGATAATAACAATAGCAATTATTACTATTATTATTATTGTTATTATGATAAATTCATAACCATTGCATATGACGAGACAATACTTTTTTTTTTTGCTATTTTCGAACGCTATGAATAATCAGTGTTTCCATCGTCCCTGGTTCGCTGCCAACACTAGTGCCATTGATATCTCTGCCGCGTCCAACTTGTCAGTCTGAATTGTCGGTGACAAGTGTCCAAAAAGTCCATAGCGATTGTCCGAATTGTCTGTGGGGATTTTCCGAATTGCCAGTGGCGAGTGTTCAAATTGTCAGCGGCGGTTGTCCGAATTATCAGCAATGACTGTCGAATTATTAGTGGCGATTGTCCGAATTGCAAATGGCGAGTGTCCGAATTGTCAGCGACGATTGTCCGAATTATCAGCGGCGAATGTCCGAATTAATCCAGAACTGAAACCTAATGTCTCGATTATCATGATGATCATTCATGTGATTTCCTCCAGTGAGTCATGTTTCTTCTGTTATGCCAATTCTGGTGTCACCACGCAGCCTGTCAGAGGATTTGTGAATAGATGCTGAATGACGGGACTCGCTGCGTGTTTATAAAGCAGACTACTAGAAGATGAGACAGCATTATTTTTATTATTATTATTATCATTATTATTATTATTATTATTATTATTATTATTATTATTATTATTATTACTGTCATTATTATTAGTACTACTACTATTACTACTGCTATCATTACCATTATCATTATTTTATCATTATCATTACTGTTATTATCATTATTATTATAATCATTATTATGATTGTTATCATTATTGTTATTATTACCATTATCATTATTATTATTGTTATTATTATTATTATTATTACTATTATCTGTTACTATTATTATCTGTTACTATTATTATTACTACCAACTTCATGGTTGTTCTTTTTCGTCTCATTACTATTCCTCATATTATTATTCATTACTGTTAACTAATATAAATAAGCATTGGTAATTTTTGTTTTAATTTGATGAAGAATGGTTTGTCATATGAATCACTCTCCTTTCTCTCTCTTCTCCATTTCTTCTTCCCTTTCCTTCTGTTCTCCCTCTCCCTCTCCATGCCTTCCCCTTCCCCCTCCCTTCCTTTTCCCCTTTCATTACCCTATCCCCTCTCCCAACTCTTCCTACCCCTTCCCCTTTGCCAACTCTCCCTCCCTCCTCCCTCTCTCCCTTCCCCCTCTCTCCCTCCCCCTCCCCCTCTCACCCGCCCCCTCCCCCGCCCCCTCTATCCTTTCTCTCTCTACCCCCCCCATCTCCCTATCCACCCACTTCACCCTAACCAAATCCCTTCTTCCACCCCAGCAGGAGGAAGTCGGAGTCCTCGCTGGCAGCTGACCTGGTGACGCCTCCCGTGCACTCCCACCCTTCGAGTCTTTCCTTGAACGAGATCGAGGCGGAGGAAACCGGACTCCAAGGTAAGGAGGGCCTTCGTCAGCTGATTGCCGGAAGCGTAAACAGTGGAATTTTCAAAGCAAATTTGGTGGGATTTTTTTGGGGGGGTCGAATAGGCCTATATGATGGGGTTTGTTTCCTAAGGTGGTCATAATAAAAGGGGTTGTTATTTTATGTTTGTTTTGTTTGTTTTGTGTGTGTGTTTTTTGGTGTAAATCAAATCGCAATATCGGGGATTTTGTATGTTATTTTATCATTATTATTATTATTATTATTATTATTATTATTATTATTGTTGTTATTGCGCTACTGTTGCACTGCATCATCTGATCTATATATTTAATACTGTTGTTCTTATTTTTTTCTCGACTGATAATACGAATC